AAAAACAAGAGATCTAATTGGCAGAACAATAGCTCAGCACGTGCATTTTGAAACCGTGTACATTTCTTAGCCGTCCTATGCAAAACAACAACATGAAATCGTCAAAATTTGCGTCGTCTTCGAACCGAAACCGCGACGGCAAATTATTTCAATTTCCATTTGGAACTCAACGCTGCTTTTATACGTCATGCTGAAGTTGAGCTGTGGCGTCGTATGAGACAGTAAGCTCATGCAGCTATTTTTAAAATTCTAACTAAGAGTAGAAATTCATTTTTTAATTAAGTCTTCCTTGGCGTTGCCGTCCTGACTGCTTAAGGTCCCTAAATTAAACTCTGCCCCCTTTAAAGACTTTGCTTTTCGAAATTTTTCCTTGAGCACCTATAGACTGTTTACACGATGGTCCACTAGCAGCGAAAATTGATGTATTCAAATGTGCTCCTTCCTATGAACATCGGCTTAAATAACTGTTTCAATTATCCAAGTGACTAGCTAAATTTGGCCTCGTGATTTTGGATAGAACTGGGAGTATCATCTGTGATTGGTTGGCACTTTTAGAGTGTTTTACGGTAAAGTGTTTCAAAATTAAAACCAAAATAATCCCAGCAACCTATGCGAACGAAGATTTAAATATCATCATGAGCCAAGAGAACTCAAAGTGAATGAAAACGAGGAAACTAGAAGGGCGGAAAAACGCAAATAACTAAGTTGTGATTGTTTCTTGTTTAGCATCTAATTGGTTGTGATGATTGCTCGAGTTTTCTGGACCACTCACACAGCAAAGTTAATAAGAAACAAAGTAATTCCAAATCACTTTTAAAAATTAAAATTGCCAGAAGTCATTTTGATTGACAGGTTCTTGTGTTAAAATGTCCAGTGAAAGATACTCCTACAAATAAATTTAGAATGTTTAGGTTTTGTTTACGTACGGGGAAAAAGTAGAATAAAGTAGTCTAGTTTAAGAGAGTGAGGGAGAAAAATAACAATCACAGAAAGGAGGGCGGCACACAGAACTTACACTCAGAACCAACACAATTCTTGCCTTGCTCACAGCCTGTGCGAGGAGGTGCGAAATAGTAAACAGCGCGATAGTAAGGGCAGAGAGAAAACGAGGGGGCTTGGATCGAGTTGCGGAAAGCGACTCCACCCGGCCCTCCCCGGTTTTCACCACTGAGCTCCCATTTAACAAATGAAGGCCTAGAACTAGCTACTTTCATTGGTAACAGTCCAACTTTACCCAATATCATTACGTTACAAAAAGGTCTCGGTCCTAAAACACAGACTGACAGCGTTTTTAAAAGACCACTTTAATTTATTACTGTTTTAAAACTGTTGAGCATTCAGCATTCAGCAATAAAATAGACCGTTTTTTGGACTGCTATCTTAATTAAAGGTTGAACAATATTCATCGCAACAGATTCATTGGTTAAAATTGGATAAATAAATTTTTTTCCCTTTGCATTACTTTATATATTAGTTCTTGATAAGGAACCATGCACATTTCCACAGCGTATGGCTTGAGATCAATGAATGTTCTGTACAGGATTTTCCGAAAAATTATTCGAAATAAATTTCATATACATATAGCAATCTCGGTCCCAACGTTTTTGAAACGCTTGATAAAAAATCGTTTATTTAAAAAGGCAAATCATGTGCTATGATATCTGGACATTTTCCGAATTCTTCTTTGTTTCCACGCATTGTATTTACTCCAGCCCTGAGCGAGAGCATAAATTTCCTTTGAAACCATCGAATATAGTCTGTTCCCCTCAGAAAATAACAGCTCCGATTAACGTGATTCATGATTGATGAGGATATTTGTAGTCGTCGATTGGTACCACGGTTTCTTTAACGCTTTGTGGTGAGACCCATCTCAGTATGTAATGAGAGCTGCCTGCCTTGTCATTTGTTCCTGGAATAAAGACACTAGTTACCATGTGGACGAATCAAACACTTCACTCAGTCATCTGAACGGCAAGCCACAAAGTTAACATAGCGGTCAAACGTCTGCGAATTTGCAAATACTAACGACCATGAGGTGGCACAATGTCTCGCTTTCAAGCTGTCATAACCAATTTGCCCCACACGAACGATAAATCCGAAATATAAACAAACGTACGAACCAAGGAATGACATTGTTTTAAAAGCGTATAACCTTTTCTTGACAAATCAACAGAATATGGGTCTCAAAGTTTCCTTACTTTGTTTTCCTTTTTAGGATTTCCTACCAGTTGATTCTTATGTTTCCTCTATAATTTTGCGCAGAAATGGGCAAGCGGCCTGCCAAACTTGGCCCATTTGCGCATGCCGTACGATTGAGCGTTGTGTTTACAAAGTATAATCAGCATAAAGCGCGGGAAAACGAATTGCTAGTGAAAAACAGGAAGAACATGGGACCACCACCAATAAATGATTAACAATGGTGATGAGACCGAGCGGAGCCCAATTGGGTCTGTAATCATACGAGTGGTTCACAAAAGGTCCTTAAGCAACCACCACGGCGACGGCAACAAGGACGTAGAAAAACAAGAGATCTAATTGGCAGAATAATAGCTCAGCACGTGCATTTTGAAACTTTGTACATTTCTTAGCCGTCCTATGCAAAACAACAACGCGAAATCGTCAAAATTTGCGTCGTCTGCGAACCGAAACCGCGACGGCAAATTATTTTAATTTCCATTTGGAACTCAACGCTACTTTTATACGTCCTGCTGAAGTTGAGCTGAGGCGTCGTATGAGACAGTAAGCTCACGCAGCCATTTTTAAAATTCTAACTAAGAGTAGAAATTCATTTTTTAATCGAAGTCTTCCTTGGCGTTGCCGTCCTGACTGCTTAAGGTCCCTAAAATCGGAAGACCGCGAAGTTCGATTTGTTTGTTACGAAAACGATTACAGACAAAATTAAAGAACACGAAGTCCAGTTACCAATTCAATTAATCAAAACTATGACAAAATTCAAGAAAGAAATTAGACATCGATCATGTTTTCATTGACTCTTTAACTCCCAGAAGTGATTAACATGGAACTTCTTCCTTGAAAATCCAAAAATTATACAGCACACAATTAATGAGAATACTTAAACTTATTAAACTGTCCCTTAACTGTCCTGTGACACTGTCCAATTACAAGCATGACGCGTACATTGTACTTGAGGTGCTCAAATCAGGCTGGTGATAACCAATCGCGTTCGAGAATTCATGTTAGATTAACGATAGGCGCGGGAAAAGGGTGGAAAAAATGTTGGAGTATCCAGTGTAGGAAACCATGTGTGAATTTCTTCGAGCATGAAAATGCATGCTTAAGGGAAAAAAAGCCCAGAAAAACAAGCTCATGATTGGTTGGCGCAAATTGCACATAGAATCATTGTTTTGGAAAAAAACCTGTTCCTTTTAAAAATATGGAAGGGATGAAATAGTGACAATGAAGACTAACCTGAAAGACGTGCGCCTCCAAAAGGTTGCTGTCCCACAACTGATCCAGTTGATTTGTCGTTGATATAGAAATTGCCAGCTGCATCTTTCAGAATGTCAGCTGCTTCTTGGATAAAATATCTGCAGGATTTTTCATTAAAAATAAGTCTGCTAGTCTATGACAAATATTTGACGTCCCTTTGGTTCAGTAAAATATTTTATTTCTACTCAAAGCAGATAAATGCTTACCTGTCTCTTGCAAAAATCGACCCGGTCAAAGCAAATGGAGAAGTCTTGTCTACCTGCGAGGCAGCAAATCTGAAATGTCAAAGCTAGAGGACTGGAAAACTACCGTACATATTTACATTATACATATCGCACGTTGTATGGTCGCAGATTCAGCGCATTCTCCTTGCGTGTCGTAAACCAACATCAAACTTATCACAACGGCCTTCAAAACAAAGAAAAACAAAGCGGTTTTAAATTGCGAGTCGAAATTAATCTTGGATTGCATTTATTTTGCTTCACTTGGCTGTGTCCAGAAAACACCACTCTCTCGACCAATCAGATTCTAAACTAAAACAACCACGACTTGGTCGCCCGTGTTTTCCCGCGCTTTCGCCAGTTGGGTTGTTTTTACTTCGAGTTCTCATTGGCTCTTTAAGACATTTTCTCTTCTTCTGAATGGCCGCGATTACTATGCGCCACTCTCTCAACCAATCAGATTCTAAACCAAAACAATCACGACTTGGCCGCCCGCGTTTTTCCGCACTTTCGGCAGTTGAGTTGTTTTTACTTCGAATTCTCATTGGCTTTTAAGGTATTTTCTCTTCCGTGATAGTCATTGTGATTGTTCTGCTTTTAATTTTACGATACTCGATCGAGAATCACTCTTTCAGTATACGCTAATGAAAACTCAGAGAACAAATAAGAAAACTGCTGAAAGGGTGGGAAAACTTTAATAACCGNGTCTCAATAATAGTTGGTTCAACAAAGTAACCCACACTAAGGAAGAAGAAAAGAAGAATGTCAAATCACTCAAGAACACAGTTTTCTAGAGGTATACGAAGTACAAATTACATCTATTTTTCTACTTTTGTCGTTTATTGAGTCGTTTTAGGAGTGTCTGAAATCAAAGGATAGTGTTACCAAAACGGCCCAATTGTTGGAAATCGCACCAGATCATTCCCAATTGGACTCAAGTGTCCTAAACCTAATGTCCGTAAATGGGCTTAAGCGTCCCAAAACGGACGGAAGTGTCCACTACTGACGGAGAAAATGCACGATTTTCAGAAAAACGGACGGAAAAAAAACTGGGACAGTAATGTCCGAAAGCGAATGCCAACTACAGTCCAAAGCTAGACCGGTACTGTCTGAAAACAGAGGCGAGTTTCGAAACTGGACAGTAAAGGTAAAAAATGTACTCAACTGTCCGAGAACGAAAATGTCATACCAAAGAGGGGCCACTTAACAAGAGGTGATTGGAAAATTTAGCATTATCACACTGAGTAATAACCCTGAGTGAAGCTTGCGGGAAACATCCTTCTGGTAAACTCAAGTCGAACACACCTGTCATCACACTTCCCTCCAGCAATGATACTAAGGTCTGAGCTGTCTTTGGCGTAATCGATGTACTCTTTGATGTTCTTGTACGACTGAAAAAAAAAAAATCAAAGCAACGTTAATTACGAACCAGTTTACCTAAACAGGAGCACGAATGAAGCAAAATATTCTACCTTTTCATCAATTACAGCTGACACAAAGGTATCGTAATCTTCCGGCTGTAATGAAAGATAACATAAACTTGTTACGTCGCTTTACCTTTTAGTGTCGTAAAACCAAACCAAAGTTATCGCAATAGCCCAATCAGAACATGGGAAAATATCATTAGGAGCCAATGAGAAGGCAGAGTAAATACGAACAAACCGCGTATTAAAAGCGCGGGAAAACGCGGCCAACCAAGACGTGATTGGTGTTAGTTTCCAATCTGATTGGTTAAGAGAGTGGCGCGAGTTATCTGGACCAATTACAGAACGAATTAAAGCTAAACCAATCCATTCCTAGATTAATTTCGACAAATGACAATCAAGGTTTTTTTTAATCCAAGATTGAATCAGTGTAGAGTGGATGAGATGTCGAGATAACCACTCATGTAGGAAGCTCACTTACCGACCCCATTTTCAGTTCTTTGTGTTTTTGAATAAGAAGTTCCTTAACCTAAAGTATGAGGAAAAGGCAAAACCAGTGAAAACCAAACTATAACAGACAAATGAAATTGAAATAATTGTATTTTACTAAACTCATTTCCTCGGTCTGTACAGAAACTTACGGAGCCTCGTTTTTCCGCTGTGATCATAAATTAGAGTAGAACAGAATCGAATCGAATCGAACCTTAACCTTGGTAGTAAGACGGAAGCAAATATGGAGTTTATTTAGAGATTTCAAGATTCGTGACATACACTGCTCGAGTCAAGATATTTTGGTGATTTTTTTTTTTTTTTTTAAATGATGAGATTCGCGAAATTATCCTGCCATGCAAATTTCAAATAATGTGGTAAATGGAAAACTTACCTTCGCCCACTTTGATTCAGGAACATAAATTCTTGAACAAGCTGAGCATTTCTGTCCACTATAACCATATGCTGCTCTAATGGTGCAGTTAACCACTGTGTCTGAAATATCACACAAATAAAAAAATTGACTTGGAATTTAGAGAACCTTTTCAGAGTACGCAGTTGATCATTTAAAAATCCACAGACGGCTAAATTGTCCAGTTAGCGCAAGTACTAAAATAAACGGATATTTTTTTCAACATTAGCCGTTATCAAACTCAAACAGAGACAAAACTTTACCTATGTCAGCAGATTCATGCAAAAAGTGGAAATTCTTTCCTCCGCATTCTGTAATCAATACACAGGGAAAATTATTTTAGTGATGTTTTATCTTCATTCCAACATTTTTTGCGATATCTTGCAGTTAAGATTCAGAACTGAAATTATCTTTCAGTATTGACTTTACAAACCTCCAATTAATCTTGGAAATGTTCTGCAAACAGAATAACAAACGAATCATCAGTTTGATAAAATGATACAATTAGCGCGTGACTTTTGGATTAATGTATATTATTAAAAACTAGATCATTGGATAATGCAATTCAAGACTTTTTATTGGTTTAGCCATTATGCTATATCAGCCAATATACCATAATCTACAAATATGGCAAGCGTACGTGTCAGCTTAAAATTAAAAGGGAGCTAAACATTTAATACAATTTAATAACTTAATTTAACGTTTTTAATAAAACAATTATTCCACTTGTTCTTGTTGGATATGAGATGATTATAGCCAACTCGGCGCTACGCGCCTCGTGGGCTATCTAACATCTAATATCCAACGCGCGCTCGTGGAATAATTGTTAATTATTTATCAAGGAAACTGTGCAACCACCCCTCCCCTAACCCAACAACAGTCAACTGATAACAAGCTGGGGTTAAAGGGGAACTGAAGCCTAAAATTGTTTTTTTTTTTTTCCGCATTCGTTTCTAGTTAGCTTTAGAGGAGTAAGATAAAGTCCCAAATGTCCTGACTTTCAAGACTAATAATAATAATAATAAGACTAATAATAATAATAATAATTAATAATAATAATAATTATTTTTCACACTTGCAGGCATAAGTGCAAGTTTACCATTATCGTAAGGTTGAGATCGGACGTCAGCATTTTTATCAGGCGCCTCTGGCAGCCGCTTCAGTCCATGCAGCAATCTCACCTTCCCACCCATCCCACGCCGGGGAGGTCATCCACTTCACAGTAATCTCGTGCATGGGAAATTTATGTCTCCTACCCCTAACCCAGCAGGAGACAGGACCTACGGCTTTACGTCTTATCTGAGAAGATGAAGCAATGTGAGTGAAGCGTCTTACTTAAGGACAAAACATCATGCCCCAGCCAGGACTTGAATCCAGGCCAACCGACCCAGAGTCCAGTGCACTGACCACAAGACTACTCAATGTCAAAACCTCATTAAGGTAGTTGTAGCCATGTAGGCCTACAATTCTAGTTGATTTGAACGACAAGTGATGGTACATACTTCCTTGAACAATCTTGTGTCTCACGCACTATTTATGCAGTGTCAAAACCTCATTAATTTCTGCGGTGAGTTTCTAATTCTCTTACATACAGTGAACTTTAAATCAGTTCTCAGCCCACATTTTTTTTAAAGATCAATTTTTCAGTTTAGAATCTCTCTCTAAAAACTGAAAACTTGCCCAAAAATTAAGGAAAGAAATTTGAAATTATCATTTTGAGAAATGATTTAGTGACTGTATGATTTGTTTGAAGACACGGATGTTTCATTTAATGCAAGAAATCAAAATTTAAGACTAACAAGAAAGATACTCTTGATTTTCATTAATGTGAGGGGACATAAGGCTAGAAGTTGTGAACCCTTCCAAAGAACTTTCCAAAAATTTGCAGGAAGTTCTACCCCGATGACTAATACTAAATAATTCAAACTGAACATAAACACCAGGGTTGGGTTGTTCAAAGCTTTGTTAAGATAGCCCACGATTTGTGTGATATCTGATTTGAGATCTGAAAGCTTTAAAAGACAATTCAGTATAATTACTTTTGCCAACAATTTGATGATTAGATGCTCTAAAAAGAATAGGGAAAATTATCCCAAAAAGGCATTGAACAGAAAAATAAATTGAAGAAACCTTAATAATCAGCCATTTTACAGTTGTGTACTTAGTTGTCAAGTCTTTGATTCAGAGTGAGGCTAAAGATGACATTGTTGGGATAGAGGCCTGTATCTAGTTAGCATGATAACAAAGTGATTTACATTTGAAAGACAGCAAGGTTTGTATCATAACAAGGTCATCCCTAGCCTCACTCCCGTTCAAAGGCTTGGCAACCAAGCACACAACTGTAAAATGGACTATTGAAATTTAACCCTAGGATAGCGCTAATCAGCCTTCGAACAACTTCCCCAGGACCACTAAGCTAGTTTTCTAGCTCTTAGAAATAATGTGAGATCTGATATAATGGACTTACCTGTATATATCAATGTTTTCTGCAACTTTCCTCCAGATATATCTAAATGTTCTGAAGGAAAGTATAAATTGAAAATGATCATGCTAGTTTACGCTGACAGTGGAGAAATTTCAAGTGAATACTGTATCTTAAGGAGACATTTTTTGTTAGAGACCAATTAAAAATAATAGAGCATGCTTAGAGGCAAGTTGATATCTAATTTAAGACTGTATAAAAACTGTATTTAGGCTTGACAGTCAGCCACTGACTGGGAAATGAGCCCACAATTCTCTTCTTCTCACAAAGGAACAAAGAGTGGAAATAAACAAGGGTAGGAGATAAAACTCTGTGACTTACTCAACGCTACCAGTGAAGTTGATTCCTGCCAAATGCGGGGATGCTGTTATAACATCTCCAAATGTCTTGCCAGAAGATGGAATAAAGTTTACAACACCTGCCAGGAAAAATTGTCATTTTATTGATAGACCCCTCAACAACACTGGGAATTCAGGTTCACTTCTTAGTGTACTGATTAACTGAGTAAACCCTGCTGAAGGCCATTGTCTGTTCCACATTTATGCAACATGATCCTCTGGGAGAGTATAGTCCTAGAAACTCTCCCTGGAGTTATAAGTATGTGAATTCTCCTTACAAAATAAAATACACTGTCCAGTGGGCAGGTAATGAGAATTGTGGAAATTATCAACAAAGTGCAAGGCTGTGGTCTAGCAGTGTCTGGTGGCCCCTGGTGTCTTACTTTTGCTCTTGGGGTGACTCAGGAAATATAGTTTTTTCATACAAAGCATATGCTGGGCACCCTGGATTTCACAGTTTCAGAGTACTGGGCTCCATTCACTTTTCCTTGGAGCACAGCCTTGAAGTGGATTATTTATTTTGGTATGGAACCAAATCCTCATTGCTTGCCGAAAATAAATGTCTGTAATTTAATTAGGAGAATTCATTGCTTTCAGTTCTCATGAGTTAAGAGGTTAACAACAGTCTTGATTTCCGATCAACACATGCTTGTAGACTAATATTACTTTAAGCTGTTTATCAATGAGCAGTAACAGAAGACTTCTTATTCTTTACCATCAGGAACACCAGCCTCTTGGAAGATTCTGTACACAAGGTAACTGGCTAACATTGTTGTTAAAGCAGGTTTCCAGAGAACTACATTCCCCACAATTGCTGGGGTACCGGCTAAGTTTCCACCAATAGCAGTAAAGTTAAAAGGTGAAATGGCAGCAACAAAACCCTAGTTGGGAAATATAAACATGATAACTAAGGGTTTAACACATAACATGCATTGATAAATAAAAGTTTGTATCATTCAGTGCAGCCATTTTGTTACTCTGGTTTCCATCTGGATTTTTCACCTGTTTCAGTCAGTGCAATGACTTGATAATCCAAAAATGTTATGGTGATGTAGTGGTAGTTAATTGAGAGATGATAACAAAACTTTCACAACTGATGAATGTCAGCCTTTTTTGCTCTTTTAATATAATTACCTCCAGACCTCTGTACTTGAGTTGGTTGATTACCCCTTTGGTTTGGTGAAGTTCTACACCATCTTGCAGTTCCTGGAATCAATTCAATGTTAACTTTGCATGACTTGAAAGTTGTATTTTATTTTATGAGCACTGTGACTAGTTCTGAGGCAAAAATGTTCCTTGCAACTACAAATTCCTCTCTGTAAGTTAACCCCTAACGCCCTAAATTATAACATAGCCAATGGAAGTAAAGCGCACTTTCTGATTAGTCAATTCAGTGTCCACCATTTGCCCATGGGTGTACACTGCTCACATGAGGAAATGCAAAGACTAGTTTTCTGCGTGCACTTGTTTTTTCTGGTTGCCTAGGATTTGGTAAATAAAAGAAAACTCTTTTGCTACAATCTATCACTGTTATGTTATAAAATAAATGGTAAACACCACATTGCACACTGTTGAGTTATGGATGGACTTAGGGAGGTTTGCTAAACACTCCAGAAGCTAGAGTTGCTATTGCGACGCACGACTCTTATGCTTCTTTTGTGCTTAGCAACCTCCTGCGTGCATCTATAACTCACTAGTGCAAGCTGTGGTGTTTTCCATTAATTTTGTTAATCAGTGTGAATATTCTCCCTACATTTCACTACACATTTCCTGTGATACTTCTGCATGAGGAGAATTTGTCAAACAATCAAGAGCTTCTTTAGTTAGTGATCATTTCCTTTATTCTCGTCACCTTAATGTTTGATTCTGAGGTAATATTGTAAGGAGAAATTAGATGCTAATCACTCTTAGGGGTTAAAGAGTTAAAGATTACAAGTATGTCACTGGTTATAGATTTCACATTAAAAATGATTGACCTCAAACATTTGACACACTTAAGGACACATGGAAAAAATCCCTTGCTGTTAAATATTTATTTACCTTTGCATAATGAATTCCAAATCTATAAAAATCAGCTATCTCTTGAACACAGTCAATATCAGCCTCAAATGCAGTTTTAGCCTAAAAAGATCATGAAAATTTTTCAAATTGATTGAAACAATTATTAGAACAATCATTATGATAATCAATACATACCTCTTGCTAACTGAGTTTGAGGTTTGTACTCTGAGTTATGTACCGAGTTTTTCTGCTAAGATCTATTGTCCAAGTGTGAAGCATGCAGGGCAGAAATCAAAGCAGAGAAAACAAGGTTCTGTGACTAACAGGATGAATGGAGAAAGTGAGTTTACTTGGTAACTGAAGATATTTATATCTCCAGGTTCAAATAGAGGGAGGAGATTTAGTGTCCCCATTTAGTGGTTATGTACTGCTATTTTAGTCTGACACTTAAATAAAGGTATTCATTCATTCATTCATTCATTCAGGCAAACTTTGTAATTTCACAAGCTGTGCAGTCTGACCTTGATTATCCAGACCTGTTAGTACTAGACAAAATAGTTTGGATAATCAAGGGTTCAGATAATTGAGAATATGAATATTAAAGAGGAACAAAAACTAAAATTAAATTAACAAAGCGACATTTAATGGTGACACAAAACATTAACAATCGTTTTGAAAAAAATATGGTCTACATTTTCATTGTCTGTGGTGAATACCTCTACACATATTTATTAACAATTAGAAGTACTTCTGTCACTTTTTAATGCTGTATTTTTAAAAAAAATGTGGCTATGGATCTTGATAATGACTAATAAATATTCATGAAAAAATTGGGACCAGAGAAAAAGTGTGGAAAATCAAGAAATCCAGATAATCAAGGTCCAAATAATTAAGGTTCAACTGTACAGTGAATTATGGCAAGCTAAATTGACCAATCATAGCCCATGTACTAACTGAGAGAATGATGTAACAAAACATCCATGTTGATATCATGAACTATAGTCAACATGGGACTCAACTCACCTGTCCCACCATGGTGACAGCTAGAGATGGAATTCTGTATTTTCCTGTGATCAAATCTGCAACCTTTTGAAAGATGGCTGCCCTGAAAAAAAAAAAAAACTTAATTAAGAGAGATTACCATTTTTCATGTCAATTAAATGGTTTAAACCACAATTAACTAACCTGTGTTCAAGAGGCGTTCGTTCCCAATCCCTTCTCGCAGCCATAGCACTATGAATTGCTTCCTTTATCACTTCCTACAACCATACGTAAAGAATAAATCATTTCAATTGATGTAAATTTGTAATAATTTTTTTCCCAGCAAAAACCAAAAACCATTTTATTTAACTTATTTATCTATTTATTCATTTTACCACTTACACCTTTTAAATAATATTATTTTATAACAACTTACAATCAAACTAGATAAAATAATTTACAATTTAGAGTCATCTATGAGTGATATGGCCAGGAAACCCAGTAGAAGCTAGAAGCTTTCAAAAACTTGGATTCCTCAAACCGTGTAGAAGATAGAATAATTTAACTAGGACAGGCAAGTTTCATTTAGTTTTCTTTCAATGAGGAATTTTTTAAACATAGTTTATAAAATAGAGAATCTGTGATACTAGGTAAGATCATGGGATAGGGATTCCAAACCTTTGGACCTTGGTGTCAGATCATACACAGCAAGATATTAGTTCTACAATAATGTGTGTAAACTACAGGCAGGCAACATTTTTTTATCAATGGCTGTTTAAATATATGTCACACTGTAATTGTTCCATTGCAAGATAACTTTCAGTTCGTCTATAACCCACCAGCATGCACATATCAAATATTTAACAATTATTTGCCGAAGGCGAGGTGAATATCATCGAATAATCCCTGAGACAAAGTCGAGGGGATTATTCAACAATATTCACCGAACCTGAGGCGAATAATTGTTTTGGTATAATTTCAGAACTGAGCAACAGAGAAATTTCTAAAATCATAACATTTTAGTAACATTTATTAACGTTTTATATTAATATTTCATATAAGCCGCGTGGAGCGGTTTATATAGCGTCATATAAGTAACCGCTCAACCAATCAGATTGCTGGAAACTCTTTGCTCAGCTATGAAATTATACTAAAATTATTTATAACTTTGTCTGGAAACTATTACTTGTATCTAGCTAGCCTGCTTGCAAGGGGTAATTTGTGTTATCGACTGTGAGGTTCAGCCCAGCGAATATTTTGTCACCTTGTTGGACTCTTGTGCTTGAAAATACAAACTACCACCTCCAAGCAGACTACTTGTGTTCACATATTATATGTTTCATGAAAATTGTAACAAAAACAAGAACAGAATTTTGCATGGCAAGATCTCAAGAGTATATTACCTCAGATGCCATGTGATATTTTGCAATCTTCAAAGAGTGGTTGTATGGCTATGGAGAAAACAGGAATCAAGAAAACCATGTCAGATTTGTTTGAATAGAACAAGTAAAATATTTGCTTTCAAATCAGACTACCAGTAGTAAGAAGGTTAGCATAAAGTGTTGAAATGATCTTGTAGCATACCGCCATTTGGTATCCTGTGTTCCCAGTATAGATTTCCTTACCACCAACAACACATGGAATTTCCAGGCATTCACCATGAATTCTCTGGATTTCTGCTTGTAACTCTTTAAGGTCATTGCTGTCTGGGTTCAAGTTTGTTGGTGGTTCATTGGGAGGCAAAGAAACCACACTTCTAGCACCAAGGATTCTATTCAATATATAACAGAATAAGTTTTTCAGCCATTGTGCTTGAATGCTGAGTTGCTATCTAGAATAATTTTGGGACAGGAAGCTGGAAATGTAAGAAAACTTTTCTACACCCCCGTGAGATAAGTGATCCTGAGGATGAACTTCAGCTTTGGGGATATTCTCTCCACCTTATAGGAGTCCCACCCGAATGAAAGCTTCAGCTGTCAAATTCATCAGAGTTGATGTAAACTTCCAAAAAGAAACAAAAATTCACTTTTTGTAACAGATATGACAAGGGAATATTTAGGAAATCATACTAGAAATTATGTGAGTTTTTGAAAATCGCGATTTTTTTTATCGTAATTAAGGGAAACTACTGATTCATAATTCATTGAATAAATGTCTGCACAATTGGTACACCCAAACAATAAAGAGTGAATTTTTTTTTAAAGAAAAGTTATAAATCTTTTTTTACATAATTTTTCTTTGACACAGACATGGTAAAAATTTCAGTTCTTCCTGACCTGCATGTTCCAGCAAAGTTCACAAAATTTCCAGTTATGACATTAATGAGCATTTTGTTTTGTTCTTGCTTAGGCGTGAAAGGAAACAAATACTTTCTTGGGCAGCTTCCAAAAGTTTTCTATAGCGCATATCGCTCGTGATCAAAAGAGCGGAAATGACCACGCGTTTCAGCCTTAAATTCCTTCGCCTGTTTAGCGTTGTAGAAGAAATTATAAATCTAAAGCTTTGCGAATGTATGGGCTCTGCCAAAGCAAGTTTTACATGTGAATAGGATACTACCTGTGCACTCCTCGACCCAAGTGTATTGAATACCTAATTCCATCCCTCTTTCCGCTTAATTAGCTTAAAAACGTCGGTAGATTGCATAAGCTAATTATGAAGAATGTATCCTTCAAAATTTTAAATTTTTCATTCATTCGTCAATCCTTGTTTGCAGAGATCGATCGCGTTGCGTTAGATTGAAACAATGCACGTGAACAGACATGATTTCGCGGGTAAAACCTTGGGTATTGTAAATACCCTTATCGCATGACAGGCACACGAAATGAAAGAAACATACCTCAGACCTTGACTCCTGAAAGCCGATCGCGCCACCAGCATAATGGAAGAGTACGAAAATTAAAATAAAACTACAACTTTCACTCGAGTCTACGAAGTTATAAGGTTAATTTTACATCCGTTGACAGATACGTTTTCTTCAAATATGGTAAAATAGGGGGCGTGTAAGCGGTACTATCCAATCAACTTCGGGATGAAGTATTTCGGTAGCCCGCAATTTTAAAATTAGAACCAGCGGTACTAGTTCAAAATGGCGGAATCGGAGGAAAACGAAGAAACAGTGGATCATTATGCGGTTTTAAACGTCCGTAGAGAGGTAGAAATAAACTGACTCAAATTATTGATGCTACGAGTATGTTATATTTCTATTTATGTGCTTTTAATTGAATTTCAGGCCAATGAAAGTGAAATCAAAGCAGCGTACAGGCGCATGTGTGTGTTATATCACCCCGATAAGCATACTGATCCCGCCAAGAAAAAAGTAAGCATATTAAATAACTCTTCCGTACGTCAGAATTTTGATTTGTAGTTTAATTTGAGGTTTTATCTTGGTATGAAAATATTCTATTCTCAACATAGGCCGAAATACTGAAGTTTAGCAGCCAAAACATCAGAAATTTACATATCTTTAAATATTGATCATAATTTTCAGATTTTATATGCTTGCCGAGGGGTAATTTTTATGTAACCCCTGCAACAGGGTAACCTGGTTAGTATGACACATTTAGTCCTCAACATATATGAGAAACTTTAGCCTTCTGGGATCAAATGCAGACCTCAAGTCACATAGGAAATTAAAGTTCAGCTCAGTTACCTAGGTTAACATGATGCATTATTGCATCGCACATGGCGCCCGTGGGCAAAATCAAGCAAATACTGTGTTCTGATTGGCTACCCGAGTGCCCACTCGGGATTGCCCCCATTGATCCCGCACATGAAAAAAAAAAAGGTAAGAACTACAATTGTAACTCTTGGACAATTTTGGTGATGGAAATGCAATACTGTAAGTGGAGAAGATAGTCAAAACAAAGAAAGCAGAAACGACCCTTGTGAGTTTGTTGTGCTACAAACACAGTTGGCTTTCTTTCTGGCTCTCAAAGGAAACAAGTCATTCTTAATTCTTAATAATGTGAAATCTTTTGGAATATAACAAATTCTTTATTAACCAAGCTTGTTCGGTCAAGATGGCGGGATATTAGCCCTGTTCTTTTTTCACATTTTTATGGACCTTGACTTCATCTTGGTCCATAAAAATGTAAAAAAAAGAACTCAGCCAATATTCAGCCATCTTGACCTCATGCTTGGTTAATAACGTATATATCTTACAAGTTTGGTCTCAGTAATCAGGTTGTGGACTCTGGCTGGAGAGGTCTGGGTTTAAGACTAGGCAAGGGCTTTGTGTTGGGTTCTTGGGAAAGATGCTCAACTCTTTCAGTGCCTCTCTTTATTAAGGAGCATAAATGAGTACCAGCAGGCTGTCTGGGAAATGAAATGAAATGTTGGAGAGTAATCTGTGATGGACTAGCTTCTCATCCAGTGGGATGGGCAGTAATGTGACCAGATTTCCACACAGCCCCAGATTTTACTATAGATACAGTTCTTGGATAAAGAAGTCAATGACCAAAAGCATTAGATTGCCTCAGGGATGACAGCTTTTAGAATAGTATGAGTTTGCACAGTCTAAGTCTTATAGTCATTTCATGCTATGGTAACTGGGATATGCTCTTTTAGGATGGACCCAATTGGCAAGGGTGTCTTTCCCTGTATCTTTCCAGCAGATCCTTAAAAATAATGTAGGTTTTCTCTCTAAAGGAAGACAGGTTTTTAAAAAGTATCTCTTGAAGCTGGGCATAAGTTCAGAAAGAGAATTTACAATGACTTATAACTTGGCTTTTAACAAGCTTCCACGACAAGTCCCCCTTTCCAAAAGCTCTTAACAAGCTCTTGGAAAGGGAGTGGTCTGACTGTATTAGGCCCTTCCTGAATGATTTCTTTCAGTTATAAAAAACATTTTACATCAAAGTTGACTTTCTTTTTTTGATTGGTTTACCAGATTGCAGAAGAATTATTCAGTAAAGTTCAAAAAGCTCATGATGGTATGTTTTGCTCTGAAGTATTTCAAACATGATGTAATTGAATCTAAATTCAGGAATTTAGTTTAAAAAAGATGCATATTTCTTGCAAAATATTTATATATTTTTATCAATTAGTCCTTAGTAATCCAGAAAAAAGAGGAATTTATGACATTTATGGCCAAAAAGGACTTGATGCTGGCTGGGAGGTTAGTACTGAGCAGTAAGCCGTGGTATTTAACAATTATTCCATGAGCGCGCGTTGGATATGAGATGTTATAGTTCACCACTAAATTTTCTCTGGTTCTTATTGGTTTAAATCGATCACGTGACGCAATAGTGTTCATCCGTGGAGAGACACTATCAGCCCATAGTGCCCGCCTGCGGAAAATACCCGGATGGATAGTGCCCTTCCGCAGATAATACCTGGATTGATAGTACTCATCCGTGAAAAGTTTCGAATAGTTTGATGGCCGCGAAGTTAGGCAGATCGGAAAAACAGTGACTTTTCAATTCTGACAGGTGTAACGTATTATTTAGCCAATGTATGGTTGCGAATTATTGACATTTGTAACAAGCTGTAGGTGTGGAAGAAAATTTAGTGGGGAACAATAAAAACAATAGAGTGTTTATGTCTCAGAACTATCGGTCTGATAGTTGCCTCTTGGAAATTTGATGTTCTTAAAACTAGCATATTTGCTCTCGAAGCTTTGCTTCTTGGGCAAATATTTGTTTTAAGAACATCAAATTTCCGCAGGGCAACTATCAGCTGATAGTTCCTCGACAGAAACACTCTATTATTTAAATAGATAGCCAACGAGGCGTTATGCGCTATGTGCTATGCGCCTTGTTGGCTATAATCATCTCATATCCAACAAGCACGAGTGGAATAACTGTTTTATTAAAAATGTTAAATTAAATTTTATTAAATTTTTAGCTCCCTTTTAATTTTAAACTGACATGTACGCTTGCTATATTTGTAGATTATGGTATATTGGCTGGTATTCCATAATGGCTAAGCCAATAAAAAGTCTTGAATTGCATTATCCAATGATCCAGTTTTTAATAATACTAGTTAACCCTTTCACTTCCAAGATCTCTTGTGTAATTCTCCTTACTATCTGCCATACAATTCTTATGATATTGGTTCTGAGAATTTGGTATTGGATCAGGGCTCAACACTAACTTTTCAACTTACTAGCCAAGTGGCTAGTGACATTTTAGATGTGATGTCAATTTCACATTGTTTACTAGGCAAACTGGCTCCTGGAAATCGAAAACCACTAGCCAAACCTGAATTTCTACCAGTCTGTGGCTAGTGTGCTACTGTTAGTGTCGAGCCGTGTATTGGATCAACTCGTAATCTGGTAATTGATATTTTTCTTCATTCCTATCACCCAGAAGAAGACAGACAGAGAAGCTGGTATTGTATGACAGGCCTTTTTCTGTGCATCCCTTCAAATGAATTGTTATTTTATCATCTTGCAGGTAATTGAGAGGCAAAGGACACCTGCTGAGGTAAGCTAAAACTGAGTTTTTAAATGAAAATTAAAGAAATGTTTTGTCAGTAATCGACAAATGAGTCATAAATAAGAATGCTTTGTCAGATAAGTGTGGTCAACTTGCAGATGAGAAGAGAAGATTTGACTTATGTTGGTGGATTTTAAGTACAGAGAAGATTTCTAATCATGGTACAATTGTTGTTGTTGTATATTACTTGCTCAGGTGCGTGAGGAATATGAGAGACTGCAAAGAGAAAAAGAGGAGCAGCACTTACGGCGGATCACAAATCCAACAGTGAGAATTTAAATTAGTTTAAGCTCCTTGACGTTTTTTTTGGTTGTTTTCTTTTGTTCAGAATTTGTGGTTTCACCATTATGCTGTTTAAGGGGGAGACTTGTTAGCCTTACAGTTAGCATGCTTGACTAATGATAGATAGGTCAAAGGTCAAGGCCTGTGTGGGACCAAATATAACTGTGTTCTGTTCTTTGGCAAGGCTGTTCAATATCAGAGTTCCACCTTCTAATCAGGGGTGTGATAGTTTCTGGCAAATTGTCAGCAGTGAGCATAGCCTGACTGAATGCTAGAGGTGACCTCCCATGTGGCTATTATCCTTTACAGGAGGAGGACTGTTTATCTCAGTAGCTTTTGCAGGGTCAAAGGTGTAGGAAATATTAAAATTGTGCCAGGGGTAAACATGTTTTCTGGTTAGAAGGAGTATGTTTCTAAAGAAACTGTGGTGCTGCATCGGTGAAAATGTGAATTGGCCACTGTAAAGAGATTCCTAATCTGTTACTACTGTCTAGCATTAGCCCTTGGTCAGAGTGAATTGATCATTGACCACTGTGTAGATTTTGAGGAATTGCACTGGATTTATTTGTTATGTGTGGTCTCACGCACACTGTTAGGGTTTCAATAACAATTTGAACAGGAGGGCACCAGGCTATGACATCTGAGCAGAAATTCTGCCATGCCCAAGAGACCTTGTTAAGCTGGGAACACCATTTTATGAAATATGAGGAAGCAGTAGGGCAAAGTTCTGTTCACAGCTGGTCACCTTGCTCAGTGCCTGGCTCTTAGTAAAACCTTTCACTGTCCAAAAGCATGATAATGCATTGAGAAGTTTTTGCAGATAAATTAATCAGCTTTGCATGCAAGCTTTACTTTTAACTATGGCATCAAAATTACATGATTGGTGAAAATAATTTTTTACCTTTCAGGGAGGTATTTCTGTAGGAGTGGATGCAACAGACTTGTTTGATAATTACAACTTAATGGATTCTTTGAATGAAAGGTGAACTCTTTTTTTCTGAACTCTAAACTGCTCTCCAGTAATGCAACTAGCAACATGACATAGTCTATTAATGTTTTTGTCTTATATCTTAGGGTTTTGCCAAACATTGAAGTTAGTTCCATGTCAATCTCACAGTCAATAGAGGTACTTCATGAATACAGTCATATATATCAACATAACTAGTTAGTATGCTAAACAAGTCAATAGTGTTTTTGTGCATGCTGATTGTCTGGTTCGGAAGTGATTAGC